CTCCAGACACTCCAACCACGGAGGTCATCCTCCATCCATCCTCCGACGACGCCAACAGGCATTGTTTGCGCAAAAAAAGATGTTGTGAAAAAACGAACTAAAACAGATATGCTCCAAATTCTTTATGGTTTTATGGAAATGTCTCCCCTTGCAGCACTGACTTCGAGTAAGGCTCCAACCTCAACGGCGACGTCATCGCTCGACGCAGCTTCAGGCTCAAACTCTTCAATTGCTCCAGGCGCCGGAGCGAGACATGTGATTGTCCACCACTGTCGAAAAGATATATAGAAAGAGAGAATGAGAGAGTGGATGTGAAGGAGTGACAGTGTGGCTGCGCAGGTGCGATATAGATCTGAGGTAGATTTCTGGATGTGAGCGTGCGAAGATGTAAGTGCACCAAGGCGAGAGAAAAGATATGTAGAAAGAAAGAAAGACAGAACAGATGTCAAGGAGCGACAGTGTGGATGTACAGATGCGATATAGATGTGCAGATGTGTGGATGTTCCGGACCAAAGCGCACTCGACACGCACGATCTCCGCAGAGGGTTGCGCCGGACAAAACCAAATCGCACTCTCGCCTGCATTTCGCGCATCCGACACGCACGATCTCCGCAGAGGGTTGCCCGCGACCGGGACAAATCGCACTCTCGCCTGCATTTCGCGCGCTCGACGCGCACGATCTCCGCAGAGGGTTGCGCCAGAAAAACCAACCTCGCCTGCATTTCGCGCATCCGACACGCACGATCTCCGCAGAGGGTTGCGTTTCGCGGCGGTCCGGCGGCACTGCCCCCGGCCTTAAGAGAGAAAGTTAAGAAGAGCGAGAGGTGAAGATGTGAGATGTAGATGAGAGGTAAAGATGTGAGATGTAGATGTGAAGATGAGCAGAGATGTAGATGTGCAGAGTGAACATGAGCAGAGATGTAGATGTGTGAAGATGAAGATGAGCAGAGATGTCGATGTGAGGATGTGAAGATGTGCAGAGATGTAGATGTGCAGTTGTGAATGTAGATGTGGAGATGAGCAGAGATTTAGGTGAGAATGTGGATGTGCAGAGGTGAAGATGTGAAGATGTAGATGAGACGTAGTTCTGCAGATGCTTTTTTACGAGGAACCCTTCGCAGGCGCTCTCGGGAAAAACTCACACGTCAAAGTTTGCAAAACAAGCGTTTCGTACGAGACTTCCTCCAAAAGTCAAGCGGAAACACCCAGCGGAGCGCACACATCAAGCAGCCCTGCCAAGCAGTTTCGCGGTTCCAGCCCCTCCAAATAGCACCCGCCCACACGCCCCCAATCCCAATGTCACAGCGACATTCACCAACGCGCGCAAAGTACTGCGCCTGCCACGAAATGTCACCTCCGTCACACCTCGCAACTTCACGAATCCCTGCGCCTGCCACGAAAATCGCACTTCCACACCTCAAAAGCCGCACAAAGTACTGCGCCTGCCACGAAAAGTGACAATATCATTGTGAGCTTCAACAAAATTTGCACCACACCACACGTTTGGAATGATTTCGACCCGTTCTGAGCACACTCCCGTCCACCAAAATCGCCATTTCAGCTGAGAAGCTTCGATGCAACACCTTGAAATGCAAACCCCAATGGCACGGCCACATCCAACACCCCAAAAACACAACTCTCCAAACGCTAATCCCAATGGAACTGCGCAGAAAACTGCGGATTTCACAAAACGCTGCGCCTGCACAGTGAAATCATTCTCCACACTTCAACATCCTACATTTCCACACGATTCCTCGCTATTTCACACGAATCTGACAGGTCACGTTTCCATCCGAAACCCTCTCCAAAAGCTTCCCCCAATGGTAGCGCCTTAGCGCTCTACCGCGAACGGTTGCGGACAGTTGTGGACCCCCAGAGTCATACGAGAAACCTTCGCTACGCGTTCGGGAAAAAATATGATAAAGCATGGAACACCTCTAGGAAACCGCCGAAAAACCTTCCAAACACTTGACAAGCTGGTTGCAGGCAGGGGGGAATCGAACCCGAGACCGCGGTCAGGGGAAATCGAACCCGTGACCATCTCGAGGCTGTGCTTATTTTTCTGCGCGGTTCGGGGGGGTGACCCCCTAAGAAAGAAACGATGATGACACGCCAAGATAGAGAACCAACGGTAAAAACGTCACACCCAGACCCCACTCAGCCTACGCACGCAGCAAAAACATAATGCATGATGAGTGGGGTGGGCGGACTTCCAATCAATTGGAAGCAACGCCCACAAAATGTCCACCAGAATCTCCCAGCGAACCAACAACACTGGACCAAGCACCGGTCGACGGCGCCCGCGTCAGGAGCTCTTGAGCTCGTTGCGTCTTCGACGGCTGCAGCCCACGGAGCTCACCCAAGTGGCCCTGCGCAGCGCCGCGGCGCGCGCAGGCGCAACCCGCCTCGGCAAGTGCGGGCGCCAGCCGGAGAGTGGCGTGGTGGATGGCGCGGTGTCCGGCTGTGGCGGCGTGTCTGGTGATAGGTGATGATGGGAGAAGGATGCTGTCAGTTGATGTCAGTTGTGAGGAAAGCGTGAAAAGGGCATGAAACACCCGTGTGCATGAATCATGCAAAGCGTAGAAGTTTGAAGTAGGATGTTGGGCGCTTTGCTGTTGATGGAGACCGTTCATGCTCTTGAAGTAGGTTTCTCCCGGAAGGGGGTGCAGGATATTGTCCTTCAACCACGTAGGTCGGTAGATCAGTAGATAGTGTTGACATATGTTGACCCATGATTAAGAAACTACCCCTAAATAAAGTAAGACATGTGCCTAGCAGAAACAAAGAATAAAACAAAACGAATTACTTGTTTTAAACAGAATACCCTAAATAGACTGCGCCTAAAAACAGAAAGAAAACAAACACAGTCTTAAATAGAAAAGTAAGTACGTACAAATTACTTTGTAAAAAAGAATACCCTAAATAGACTGTACCCTAAATAAAGCCTCAACATGTTTGTCGCCTGAAAAATGAGTTGTTTTAAGTTAGTGTTTAGGTCTTTTCATTCCTTTGTTAACAGATTGCCTCTCTGGATTCCTTCTTCAAATCCTTTTCCTCTTCATCTGACCACTTTCTAATCTGACAACATATTTTTTAGAACAATTTTTTGAAAACCATTGAACATCAGAGGTCGACATTTGGTGTTAGATCATTTGGTGTCAGGTCATTGGTCACCATGCACCACTTTTTCAGGGTTTGCAGCTGAGGGCTGGAAGCTTCATGACTGGGTGATTTGTTCCATAGACTTCCCTTGTCAGGAGCTTGTGACACAAGAAACAAGGGAAGTTCCGTTCACAATGACTTGTTCCGTAGACCTCCAGACTTTCCCTTTCAGCTTCATGAGTACCAGAACGGCTCCGTCAACAAATGGTGTTCGAAGAAAGTCGTGTGTATCATTTGCCGCCAACGCGCGTGGGCTGGGCGCCATGTGATGCAGTGGACTTGCATGGGATTCGAAGAGTCGTGTTTGGAAGCCATCAAAAGCGTGTCTTTCGACGAAAAGGGTGGTCGATCTGTCCGTTGGTCGGTTTTTGTTTGACCTGCGTCCTCAGTCAGGCGGAATGTTGAAACATGATCGCACGCGAAGCTGCAGGACTACTTCACACTTGTGAAACGAGGGACATAAGGGACTTCGGCTAGTATAAGTTGCTCAACCTTCCGGTTCACTGCAATCTGTTAAGTTTCCCAATCTCAGGTTAGGCAGGTCATTCAGTTCATTCTCACCTCGCAAGGATCTTTCTGCTGGGTTTGCCTCGGGGGTTGTTACCCCTGAACAAGCGATTGATACAAACAATGTCCAATACATCTTAGATGGGGATCTGCTTGTCTAATGAGACAGGTCGAGATGCGCTCGGTGAAGAAGAAAGCGGAGATTCCGAACTACTTGCTAAGATGTTTGCAGGAAGTTCTTATGTTAAGCCTTCAATGGTTTGGCCAGAGAAATGCTCAAGGTGGTCAATGCGGCCCCCCATCCAAAACGGTCTGCCTGTGCCAGTTGTTCTGAAACATTCTGAAGCTGCTGCACAAGTGAAGCCACCAGGGTTCTCTCCCGTTTTTGGGGGACATGGACACAATGTTGGTTTGGAGTGCTGGATGTTTTTGCGCGAAACACCTGTGAAGATTGCACATGTTCAGCAGAAAGACTTTACAAGCCGTTGGTTCAATTCCCGTTTGGCTGGAGGGCTGAATTTTGGTGTCTAGCAACTATTTGAGGGCAGGTGTCGGGCTTCACTCAAAGGGTTTTCCATGCCTAGCCCTTGAGATGCCAACTCCAGCCCCTCCAAAGTGACATACCAGAAACCATGGTCCTTAAGTTCTGGCTACTACTCGGCAAATGGCTTTGTTCTGAGCAATGACAGAGCGAACACTTGAGGCGACTTCATCACGACCACCACATGGCAAAGTGCTGTTGCTGCATCTACGGAGGAATGACTGCGTATGACTGCACCCCAGCTTGGGTGGTAAAGCGATGACTCCTTCGCCTGTGTCAGTGAGGAAGCACGCATTCACCCCCCCACCTGTCAAGCAACGTTGCTTTTCTGGTGCGTTTGGGGTGGCGCTTGTTCAGGACACCTCCCTTTAGTACCCTCTACAGTTCTTTTTGCCAAGCAAGGCTTTTCACATTTCACATGGCCCAAGCTCCACGTTTTACACAGGTTTTTACCAACGGGAATTGTCCGACAGCCAACCTGAAGGTAGACTGCGACACTGATCAGATCTGCTAGGAGCGGCGCAACCGTTTACCCGCAAGGCAGCGGGTTTTCCAATTCCATTGACCTGCCAGGCAACGCCTCGCGTGCGCAGCTATCTGGCGATGTTTCACCTGCTGTCGCGGTGCGCACCAGCTGGGCAACTGCTTTGCATTGCCTCGGCCCTGCGCCATCTACTGCGGAGCTGGGTGTGGCGGTGACACGGCTGTTACAGATGATTAGGGGGAAACCAACACTACCATGAACGAGACGTTTGCTAACGTCCTTCCTTCAGGGCCATGAATGAAGATCAACCACCCGAAAGGAATCCTTATATAACGTCGACGAAGGATTAATAAAAGCGCCCCGCAAGGTCAAGAAGGTTTGAGACTAGAGGTATTGGAGGCCAGATCCCCCTGATGATGGACGATGGTTGATTGGATTCTGTGAGGGCCATGAGGCCTTTGTGAGGGGTGTGAGATTGAAAACCTTGAGATGTTGATCGAGTTACAATATGGGAAAATGAAAGAACTTTGTTAGACAGTTTTTAGGGGTTGTGGAAAAAACAAGTTGTTTGGGAGAACGCTGGCAGCATAGATTGCAGCTTTAACAATAATAAAACAATGTACTAATGAACTAGTTTCTATTTTATGGGGGCAGATGGGTTTGTGTAATAAAGGGTGGTTTCTGGCAAAGAAAAATATTAAAGTGATGCCAACGTGGAAATTCAGGCCTTAGACTAATTTTTTATTGGGGGCTCGAGGTGGGTTTGATTAATAGTGGGAGGTTACTTAACCCCGTATCAACATTAGACATGACTGAGTTGATAGACTAGAGGGCAGCGTTCTCATTGGGTTGGAAGACGGCATAGGTATCAAAAAAGAGCATCGACAAAAAAAATAAAATATCATATGAAGAAAATAGAAAGCAAATCAAAAAAATATTCCTTGATAGGCCTCTTCTGCTGCTCTCCTGGCCCTGTGGTCTGCGGGTCCTCTGGTAATAAGGTCCCTTGGTCCACTGGTCCTTTGGTCCCCTGGTCCTTTGGTCCTTTAGTCCACTGGTCCCCTAGTCCTCCGGTCTCCTGGTCCTCTGGTGCTATGGCCAGGTGGTTTTCTGGTATCCTGGTCCTTCTGTCTCCTGCTGGTCTCTTGCTCTCCTACTCCGCTCGTCTGTCGGTCTCCAGGTCCCCTGCCTGCGCAAATAGAGGCTTGATTGCTTTCTACTAGAGGCAGCTCCCTGGGAGGAAAGTAGGTACCCAATGATAAGGTAGCCGTCCAGTCATTGAGTAGCCCTGCTCGAAAAATGGTTCACCAGTAGAAATAGCTCCCTACTAGGAAGGAGCTCCTAGGGAGGTACACTCTCCTAGCCCCCTACTTCTTCCATCCTCTTCCCTTGGTCTCCTAATCCACTGCTCTTCTGGTCCTGGACTCGGCCTTTGGTCCACTCAGAGACAACTGTCTTACAGAAATTGTAGTCTAGCATCGTGAGGTAATTGTTTTGATCCTGTTCTTTTCTGTTGATTTCGTCCGCTACTACTACCTGCTACTGCTACTACTACTACTACTACTACTACTACTACCACCCCAACCATCCTCAGTGGGCTAGAATACTTTTTTGATTTCCTTTTTACTTTTTTTATTGATCCCCGTTGAATTTTTTTTGTTTCTATTTCTATTTTCTTTTTGATCCCTTACCCTTAGAAGACCACTGCTTTCAACAAACGTACTGTGATGGGCCAGGGTGCTGAGTGTGGGGGTCCATGTGCACCCTTAGTTTTTTTGGCAGCCGTTTCGCCCAGTGAATTAGGTTTGTTGCCGTTCGCGCGACACTGTTTGATGCTAGAACAAGCCTAGAAGTTGAAAGAACTCCAGATGATTCAATGGATGTGTGGGCGGTGCTTTGGCAAATTGGAGTGTTTGTTTATCCAACCCACTTCTGAAATATGTTTGGGGGCTGTTTCACGCCACCAGATATGGTACTACGGGGACCCCGCCCATTTTTTGACAGGTCTTGGTTCTGCCCCTCAACCAACACTGACCAGGACACTCCTTGGTGAATGATGTTGGTGTCCTTCCATCAGGCAAAAGAATAATTGTGTATCATGATCAAGTGCCAAAAGGGTCAAGGAACGTAGATTGTTTGCGCCTTTTGCATTCATTCCATGCACATAGCAGATCTGACAAGTTCTACGGCATTGTTGTCAAGAGAAACTTATGTTGGGGAACGTCGGTCTCGACCCAAAATAGTTTTCGGGTTGTCATGATCTTGGGTGTTGTTGGTCAGGTTCTTGAAGAATGGGGGACCCATGGGTCGTGAAGATGGGAAAGCACGTATGGCTGGGTGAGTTGACATGCAGCAGATTGTGTTTGGGAGTTTGTGTTGGTTCTCAAGGGATGGAAAGCCACCAAGAAAACCTTTCGCACGGCCCTTGGAGCAGAATTTTGGGTCCTTGGTCACCTGTGATTCTGTCACATGTATTTTCTTCACTTGTTGATCTTGAGATGGTGGACGTGGTCATCTTGGCCAAAAGATGTCTTGCCCAACGGTCATTTGTGATTGAAGTCAATCCAATATAAATTCGCTAATTCCTCGTAACAAGGGCCTTACTGCTACTAGTAACTAGTAACAAGAAGCTACCAACGGGGCTCCTGGCATCGCTACGAACGGAGCGATCGGACGCTACTGACTCGGGGCTCCTGGCCTTGCTACTAGTAACAAGAAGTTAAGAACGTAACAAGAATTAGAATCAGAAACAATAAGCTACTAGGAACAAGTGCATCGCTTCTAGTAACAAGTACCTTACTAGTAGTGACAAGAAGCTAAAACCGTAACAATATCACTCCCATCCCGACCCATCCTGGCACCCGAGGCCTTGAGCACCGCACGCGCTCACCGGTGGCGCCAAACGCTGCAGCTTCTGGCCGGCCGCACGGCGGCGCTGAAGGCCACCATGGCGGCGCGCAAGGGCAGCGAGGCGAGGCACCCGGCGTAACGTTCGCCCCATGGGAGGTTTTCAGGGGGACTCATATGGTGCTTCGACGTGGCCGGTGGTGCCGCTGTCCGGTTGTCGCG